AAATTAGGGACGGCTAGCGCAGATAGCTCTCGTGTAGCTTTGCGCGAAATTCAAAAACAAACAAACACTTATATAGAAAAACTGACGCTTCATAATTTATGACGTAAAAACCTTAAACCTTCTATACTTTTACTCTCTTCGCCATTGCTTTATCGGAATACACTACTCGAACTCTTTTTACAATTAACTTGTTTCTTCATTACTTTATAAAACAGTATATTTTCGAATACTTTGCCCCCCTTTTTTTTCATTAGATGATGATGTGTAGCGGTAATCTTATTAATTATAAATATAATTATACCCACTATTATAACCTCCAGAATAATACGTCATTACTCCCAAGTAGAGCGTTGTTTAGATGGAGATTAGGGTAATACAAGTAGTAAAATAACTGATTTATGTTTTTCTTAACAATTAGGCCTTGCATCAACTGCCAGTGCTCAATAAAAGTCATTTTAATAAATGAACCCATATTTATGTGACAGGGCGTTCATAATTCTAACAATGTATCACGTAAACAAGGAAAGTGGAAGCTGATTTATAGATCCAGAAACGCACTTTTAAGGCCTGATCATCTTACTCTTTCCGAGACGGAAACGTTAAACTTTTCGCACACATTTCAACATAATGGAAACTGCTAAGCCAATATAGCGATAATAAGTATAAACCATGAGATGTAGAAAGAACTTCGTACAGTTTATAAATAGAAAAAATAGTGTTGAAAACAGCGACAAACAGGGGTGTGTGTAGTTGTAAGAAAATATATTCTAACCAATATCATTTTTTTACTAGCTCGTATCACTGACTAATATGAAGCATTATCCAAACCATGCATATTTTGTTTAGAATTTTAGACTATTTGTTTAAGACCAAAGCTAACTGTGATGTATCCACATTAAGGAATCGAACTCCGGATTTTAGCATTGCCAACTCCATAGTTGGATGTCAGCAGACATTTCCTAAAGTCGGGAATCTACTTCTCTGTCTTAGTCCAGTATTAGGTTCAATATCTTTAGTAAATGATATGTTTAATATCTTTGGCCAGCGATATAGTTAGTGCCCTTTATCAATGATATCGCTGATATCCTTGGATAATAATATATTAACAAAGATACCAGCAATGTTTGGGTTCAACAAGCAATACTATAAATAAGGGGTGTGGGCCGCCACCTTCCACTATTTGGAGCCGTAGTACACTAACCGTTCGTCCGATGCAAAAGTGCCCGTGCTACGTGCACTATTAAACATCACTTTCTTTTGACCTCATCTTAATGTATTTTACGTCCGACATCTTCGCTCAGTTGAGTCCACATTCTCTCTGTATTAAAAATGTAAAATATAAATGATGGCTACCAAATTTAAACCATTCACTCGGTTATTTATCCTTTTAAATTAGATATTTGTGAATCCACTTGAGTCCCTCTACCAAATTTTCTTTATATATGTAGATATTTAATACTTTTGTCCAATGACATAGTTGGTCCCTTGACCAAAATTAAAGGCATGGCCAGGTGGTTAGGGCGCTTGAATCGCAATCTGCGGGTCGCGGATTCGAATCCCCATCCCACCAAACATGCTTGCCCTTTCAGCCGTGGGGGCCGTAACCAATCGGGAATGCATGGTCCATCTATATTCCAAAATGAATATATTGCATGGATTAAATAAAAAACAATACATAAGGATATGCAACTTTACAAGAGGGAATGTAATCTTTGTTATAGCTTTCCCTAGAGTAACTATAATTGTATTTTATTATTTCTATCCCTGTGTCTGTGGTGATGTCATTTAAAGTGACAATGAGACAGTAGAGAAGATGAGCTAAGTAATCAGAATTTTAAGGTTTCCCCAAAAGTGATGTGTAGTTTTGAATATAAGATGTATGTAGCAATAAGTAGTTTTATATTTCTAAATGTGAATATAAATAAGTTGTAAAAATGACAAGTTTTATCTTCTTTATCATTTTAGTTTAAATCATGTTTAAAGATACAGAAAATGAATGAAAACAGGAGAAATTCACATTTATGCCTTAAAAACAGAGAGAATTAATAAGACATACCATTGAAATGCAACATGTCTATCTAGTGAGTATACATTATTGCTCACAATGCGTGGCAATAAAGATGGATTGGACTGGGTGTAAAAAATAAATAAATTAGATTTGTTACCATATATTATATGCACCATAACTTTCAGATAAATTTTTAGTGAAAAAAATGTGTATTGTATTTGGAAAATTATGGTTCACATTCTTGAAATAAAGTTGGAATAAAGATGTTTTTCATCATATTATATGCTAATGATGATAAGTATGCTTTAAGCTTTTAATTTGAAGTAAACAGATTTTTTATTTACAGATGGTTTCAAATGAACATTGAGTACACATAAAGTATTATAAACATTATGTGACTACTTTGTAGCAAAAATATTTAACACTTACTGCTATATTTTGAAGTTCTTTAGAATCAATTACAGTATGCTCATATTGTATTGCCCCTAATTAACACCCTTGTGGGTGACTAATTGGCTCATATGTTGATACTTCTATAATAAGTGGTAGCAAACATAGCCTACATATTTCTAACTGCTATAAACATCAGTGCTCACTATCACAGTAATTATGTAATCATTGAGTCCAAAAATCCTGTGAAGAGGTCCAGGTAACCTCTTTTGATCAGCTCCAGTGAGTAAAAGGTGGGAAAATCCTGGCCTATGTGAAATTTATCAGTTGCCAGTATTGATCGCTGATCTCTGCGGCTGGGGGTGGTGGGGGTTGTAATTGGAGTTTTACAACTTATAAAAGATGAAATTAAAAACTAGCATAATACTTTTCAAACTTTACATAAATGATCTCACAATAAATCAATTTCATTTTGAAATTACAGTTTAATTGATGTTGTTCACTAACGGCATTTTACGATCAACAGACATGTTTGTTTATTTGGTTAAATAATGAATTTTTTATTTAAGCTATTGTTATTAACACAGCTATGCAGTTTGAGAAACAAGCATTACTACACTACTATTACAGACACTAAAGTAGAGTAGCTGATGTAAAACAAAAACATTAAACTGCCTTACAATTTCAAAGAAATTGACACACAAATACATACATATATAATATTGTACAACACTTAACCTAGAACTTAAATTATCAAACTGAGAGTGAATTAGCATTCCTATAAATAGGTGACAGAATTTCCTTTGTCTGTTGCCTTAGGCTTGTGGCGTGACATCCTAAAGCATAACCTTATGATAATATAATACTATTCAAGAGATTCAATCTTTATAAAAGCAGCTAGATAAAGGATTAGTTTCAGTAAATAATGTGTTGTATGCTGTATTTTCAATGCTTTAATATAGACATTTGTTAGAGGGATCTGGAGATGATGTGATTTTTGTGGAATTTGGATGAGAGTATATTATAAGTATGACTAATCAGTGTGGTACGGTTCAGCGTGAATTCAATGAAGACTTAGTGGGTGATTCAGTTCAGTGTTTGTTGTAAGTTATCACATCTGTTAAGGTAGTAAGTTAGCAAAAATATTCTGAAAGTAAGTTTATTTGTACATTATGCATTCCATAAGTCTCAGATTTTCTGTTTAAACATTGTTTGTAAATGTTTACAACTTGTTTCAAAATAAACATAACCTGTAGCAACTATTATAGAAGAAAAAGATTAATTCATTATCATTATATGCACTGAAGTTGACATTAGTTTACCACATTATCTGTATACTTCTGTATAAATATATGTTTGTATGCAATAGTTTGACTTACAAAATGCTAAATAAGTTAGTAAATTAACAAAATTAAAGTGAAAATTTGTTTGCTGGTCATTTAATATGAGAAGGGATTTATAAATGCAACTCTCAGCTTCCTTTTGGTATCATTGTGTAATGATGAAATTCATATTATCTCATTCAAATTTGGTACTTTCAAAAAATTATATTTTGGATAAAATTTTTAATGGTGAAGATTGTATTGTGGTACTCAAGATCTATTACAAGGACAATGTATGTCATCAAACAGATCAGTTTTCTGTTTTGTAGGTGCTTGTTTGGAAAGACATTCAGTTATCTGGCATAGCAAGTCGAGGTTGCTGTTCAAGTGATGTTATATATAGTATTAAGGATGCCATTCATGGTGGTAAGTCTTTAATTAAATTATTTATTCTAATTATGAGTTATCACATTTTCATTGTGCTAAATTTTGAATTTTTTGATGCAAAATTAATATCTATTAATATTTTTTTATTTTCTGATAAATATATATAAAATAAAAATATGACCTGGTACATCAAAACTTCATACTCTGTATGGTGAATACTTTGTTTGTTTGTTTGTTTTGAATTTCGCACAAAGCTACACGAGGGCTATCTGCACTAACTGTCCCTAATTTAGCAATATAAGACTAGAGGGAAGGCAGCTAGTCATCACCACCAACTCTTGGGCTACTAGTGGGATTGACCATCACATTATAATAGGTATATTATGACTGGCAGTGTCCAAGTTGCAGCAAGACTTATAAAGGTAACTTGTTAACAGAAAGGTATATTATGACTGGCAGTGTCCAAGTTGCAGCAAGACTTATAAAGGTAACTTGTTAACAGAAAGGTATATTATGACTGGCAGTGTCCAAGTTGC